ATATATATATATATATATATATATATATATATATATATATATATATATATATATATAGTATATAATTATATGGCTCAAATTAATATTTAAGCCTCTACCAGTAAATTGCATTATATAAATAAATATGTTAATATAAATTGAATTAAATTATGAATGCATTGTGAAATGCTTCTCATTATTGATGGATATAAAAGTTCCTCCATTAGAAAGTGTTTAAAATGGCAATATTTCAGTTTTTCATTAAAGACACCATAGTTCTTGCCCAAAGCTTCATGGTGTTTAAACATCATGTTCAGTTACCTTGGCACAGTTCCCCCTTGGTAATAAATGAGGCTTTCAGTTCCCCAACTCTCATAAAATTGGGCTAAAGATAGCAACATGATAAAATGATATAATTTAAATTGATGGTATTCAAATTCAAGACTTTCCCATGACAGTTAAATTAATCTGTAAAATCTTTTAGATCCTTTCGGAGGAGACCCTTTCAAAGAGACCGACCCGTTTAGAACCTCTTCTGAAGATTTCTTCAAGAAACCCTCGAAGCCAGACCCCTTCAGCAACGCCGATCCTTTTAGCAAAAGTGCCACACTTCCCTCAAAGGTACCTAGAAAACCAACAAAATCACATTATTCCCCTGATTCTCTGCCTTGTTTCTAAACTATCTCTTTTCTTTTGTCTTGTAGAGTCATCATTTTTCAAGTAATGACCCCTTCAGCTCCACCAGCCCCAAACCGAAAGGCCAAGGTATGCCGTTTGCGTGTGTCTCTCACTTATTTAGCTGAATCATAACATCTCTGCCACTCCCTTTCTTTGAAGATGCTGTGCAAAGATTGGCTTTTTCATCTCTGCATGCAACAGAACTTGAACCTCTGAAACTGATCTGGTATCAGCTGAAAATGCCTCGTTTCCCTCACAAACACCTTGAGGGACATGCTTAGGGTGCATTACACAACTCAAGCAAGATAATACTTTCACACCTTGTGCCCAGTGGCGACACTTTTGTCTTTTTTTTTTCCAAAGGCTACTCAGAGAGCAGTTCGAGAGAACGTGTGAAGAAGCTGTCAAAAGAGTTCCCATGCAATACGTCCACTCGCAGGCCCCTTTGGCTGCCTGAAAGATGTGAAATTCCTCTGCTCTTTCAGTAAACAGTTAATGCAGCATTCGGTTGCAGCATTGTTGAACACTGAGGCGATGCCAGGAAATGCTCAACACGTTTTTTTTTAAAACCTGTGGGTTGAAGGCAGAAAAAAAAACACAAAGACAACAAAGCAAATTGATGCTTTACATTTTTGTTTTGACTTTTTAAAATGGAAAATTGAAACTCCTGTTTGATTGCTTCAGTATGCATTTTATTTGATCTTATTACTATTGTGAATGTTTAATGTATTTATTAAAAGTGGTCAAATGAGTACTTCAGTGATTATTGACCATAATATTATTTTAAATAAATAAAGATCATTCTATTTATTTATTGGTTATTTATTCATTGTTTTGTTTAGTAAAATTAAAAACAAGTCAATAAAAGTAGTCACATAAGTAATTCACGAATCCTTGGCCATAATATTATTTTAAGTAAAAACTTTTTATTGACTTATTATTTTCATTCAACATTATGATGAAGGGTCACTAAAGTATTTATTTGGCAATTTTTTGGTAGCTTGTTTTCAATTTTTATTAATAAATAAAATGTATTGGTACTTTTAGTTAAAAACCTTTTTTCTAATTAAAAAATTATTATTTTTTAATTGAAATCAAAAGTAAGTCCGTAAAAGTGGTTGAATAAAAACCTCAATGACCCTTGATCTTTATATTATTTTAAATAACTAAATAAAGTAAAAGTTTATTTAAAGTACCATTGTGATCAAGTATCATTAACAATTGCAAAAACATTTTTACCGCTTATATTGACAGAGAAAAATGGGAGCAGAATATGAAATTTTAATACGAGAATTAACCTCATAATCTCTAAACGTTTCAAAATGTCTAACATATTTTTTCCGTTTCTTGACTTGTAATACTCTAATTCCTAATTCCAGATTTCTTTGGTACGATGGACCCGTTCGGAAGCAGTTCGTTCGGCAGCAACAGCGGATTTGCAGACTTCAGCCAAATGTCAAAGGTAGTGAACACCTTTTACACATTTTTCTTTTGTATCTTAAGCATAGTGGAACTTCACTTTCTCACGCTTTTGCAACATGACATTTGTAAGATGTGGTTTTGATTAAAGTCCCACTCAAAATGTGCGTGGTTTGCACCTTGTGACTGATAATGGCCCACCGCTTCTCCTTTCCGCTGCGATTTAATTTAGGGCTTTGTAGATGACCCCTTCAGCCGAAAACAAGACATGCCAGCCCTCCCACCCAAGAAAAGCATACCGCCACGACCCAAACCACCCAGCGGTAAGCATTTAACCTTCATCTCAAGGCCCAAAAACAAACATTGACCCTTTTCAATTTATATACAACCATATAAGGCGTTTAAGCTAGTATTTCAAAGTAAACGATTACTAAAACTACACAGCTAACTGTTGCAATAAACAAAACGTAGTCAAAACACGCCATCTAAACAGCCAACATGAAAGACCTGGAGAATGTTGTTTGGGTGGATCTTTCTCTACGTTTTTGACACTCACATTTAAGAAGACAAACCTTCAAAGTGTCTCATCTCTTTTAACTAGTTGTTTGTCAGCAGTGAAAGCAAAACAGCTTTGAACAAGAAGTTGTTGACCGCAACTCACACTTTCATGTTGTAGAAGTCTTTTATTAAGTTCAAGAAAACTGAATTCTGACTATCCATGATATCTAAGACTTCCTCCATTAGTTGTCAACAGGAAATTGAGGTACAACCTTGATACGTTTGCTTAAGCTTTTAATTTTTTTTAGTTTTTTAATGCAGTATTATATCTCCATCCAACTCCAAAACGGTGCACAAACAAACCTGAATGGAAGATGAATTTGTCACCTGGAGAAAACGAAACCTGCGCTGTTTCCTCTCTGCAGTCGGCAGTTGGAGGAAAAGGAGAATCTGTGCAACTCACTCTTCTTTTTTTTTTCTCAGAAAGATGCTTTTTTTCATCCTAGAAAACAAGGGAGTGCTTTCCTGGTGTAAACGAGGTTTATAATTTGGTGTGGAGGTTAGAGAAGTAGGTTTTTTCGGTGCACTCAGGGTGGTATAGCTAACATGCTCCGATGATCTGCGGTTAGCCTGCACTGCCAGCATCGTGCGCTGATCTACACACCCCTCCCCACTTCCTGTGTGTGTGTGTGTGTTTACACACTTTAGTGGGTAGTGTGGCCTGACTGCCACAACTTTTTACTTTATTTCATGTTTTACTCCTCTCAAAAACACATTTCGAACATTGTAAGTGGAGTTAAACTTTGTGTATCCCATAGTATGTTAATTTTTTTTAAGCAGTACGTGCGTAACGGCAATAAGTTAACAGATTAAATAAAAATTCTAAATAGCATAAAAAAATACGCAGTATTTTGCTAATTAATGTATACTTCTTGTCTGGGAAGTCTTGATTTTTAAAACCCAAATTAAAATGAATTTGTTGTCAAATTGAAAATTCATTCATTTTTGTTAACGTATTGTATCATTAAAAAGCACGGCTTGTTTTTGACATCTTTCTCTCAGCAGGGTGGAGTCTTTTTGCGGTTTAGTATTCCGTTTACTGACAGAAAGAAACTGATTGCTTCTCTGGTATAAATAACAGCCCTATTGAATATGCGGTTAACACCTTTAGAGGAACCAGCAACCCGTTTAAAGTTCTCACGAGTAAGTGAATGCTCGGCAAATGGTGCAAGAGAGGGGGGAAAAATAAGTTTGCATAAGCATTTAATCCGAAAGTCCTCACTGGTTTGTGATTACTTTTCTTGCGCAAATTTCTATACTAAGCAAATTGCTTTTTAAGCATTCTGCTTTCCTATAAAACAACAACGTGTGAGCCGTATTTAGTGCTCTTGTTGGGTGTGTGTAGAAGGAGACCGAGTTACCGCATCATACAAGCTTGAACCACTGTGGGTTTTTTGGTTGAGCTTCGGAAGGATATGTGCAAATGACGATTGTTTGATGATTAATTATTTAGTATTATAAATTAGTTATTTATTACAAAGAATTACATTATTGTTCAAAAGTTTGGGGTTGGTAAGATTTTTTTATTTAATTTTTTTTAAGTAGTCACTAATACTCAAGGCTGCATTTATTTATTTTTTTAAGTACAGCAAAAACAATGTAATTATGAAATATTATTACAATTTAAAATAACAAATTTCTATTTTCATGTATTTTTAAATGTAATTTATTCCTGTGATGCAAAGCTAAATTTTCAGCAGTAGTTATTACAGTTTTCAGTGTCACATGATCCTTCAGAAATCATTCTGATATGCTGATTTGCTGTTCAATAAATTTTGCTGCTTAATATTTTTGTGAAAACTGATATTTTGTTCTGGATTCTTTGAATACAAAAATGTATTTGAAATATTTTGTAACATTATAAATGTCTTTACTGCAACTTTTGATTTAATGTGTTTTAGATTAATGTTTTAAAAAATATTAATGGTATATATTGTAATATTAATTATGTTTTTTTTAAATGTTAATATGTCTTAAAATCATCACACATTTATAAATTATATGATATTTAAACACTGGTTGTCTTTTGGTTTAGATTCTTTAGGTTTAAACTTCATAAATTATTTTTTTTAGTGAGCTACCGCTATACGTTTTCTATTATTATTTAGTAAGTAAAGCAATTAGAATTCATTAGTTATTATAAAGTTATACAGGGCCAATGTATTGTTATTTAGCTTAACAAAAATGATACAAAACGGCTGGCTTAGACACTCAAAATGAAAACTGCTGTTTTTCAACAGGTAAAAGCACTCCTGTAAACGTGCCCGGATCCGCCGATTCGGACAAGACGAGCGATCCCTTCCAGCCCTTCAGTGCCGACCCCGCTGATCCGTTTCAGAGTAAAAAGGGGGTGGGAGACCCGTTTAGTGGCAAAGACCCATTTGCTCCATCTGCCTCAAGTAAAGCCTCTAAAGACTCTTCATTGGGTTTTGCAGACTTCAGCTCTGTAAGTTGAGCTTAGTGATACTCTTCTCTTGTCCGGTCCACTTGTTTCTTTCCAAAATCGAAATAAAAACCAACCAACAAACCAAAAAAAGTGCTTTCTAGCGATCACCAGTGAGGTTTCCTAGAGCAGACCGCACCATTGGCTTCTGTATCGCTCAGTCTGTCGCCTTGTGCCGGCTACTCATTTATTTTCCTCCATGTCTGCAGTCCATCTATCTGTGATTAACTCACCAACGCACAGAATTCTGGATAATAAGCCCTAATCAAGCAGCCAGGCATCATCTCTATCTCTTTCAGTGACTCAAATACAGTTGTTTGTGGTGCACATGGCTATGATGTCGTCTGTCGTTTTGCTCAGCATTTGCATGGGCTTGTGGGAAGAGAGGAGCGGTCGCACTTGGTAATACCAAGCGCTCTCGGCTAAGCTAATGTGGCTTCTTGCTGTTCTTCTGTGACTCTTTTGTTAGCTTTTATGCAAATGTCTTGTTTTTCAAAGAAACACTATTCAGGCTGCAATTGTCATTCAAAAGCAGTCAAAGTAAGGTCTTGGTTTGAACGTACTTCAAATCAAGATGAGTTACTGTGTAGTTTATGCTAATTTTAGTTTGGTGGTAAAGATGTAGTATTTTGCAAAAACGTGCATAACGAGGTTAGAAATCATATAGCAAATGATCAGATGATATTTTTCTGTTTACTTGTAAATGTAAGTGATCTACAAAAAAAACGCAAGTGTTCAGCGTTACGATGTGCACAATATCACTATTTTTGCTTCTTATCTAATGGAAACGCAAGTTTCGCAACCCAGAAGTTTGTTATCGTAAATGTTGGTGTTTATTCTAAAATGTATGTTATGTCAGTATTTTTGCTTAATCGTCTGCAAAGTAGTCAATCTAACTGACTCCTAAAATAAATCTTTTTCGGCAGCATCACAAAAATTTGTTCGCTCAAACAAAACATCAGTGTTTAAAGTATAATCAGGGTGCCCTATGTCAGTATTTTCACTATATGGACAAAAGTGTGGGCCTTTTGATTGGCCTGTGACGAGAAATGTACATTTTTTTAACCCAAAAGTTCGCTTGAACAAGACGTCAGTGTTTTGTGTTATTGATGTGTCTGATGTCAGTATTGTCCCTTTGTCTGCTAAATGAACTATCTGATTGGCTCCTAAGAGAAACATACATTTTCTTGCATCCCGAAATTTGTTTTGCTTAAACATCCGTGTTTGTAGTATAATCAAAATTCATAACATCAATATTTTCGTCTCAAATCTAGCTAGTTTTTTTTAACACAAACATCTGTGTTTATTGTTTAACCAAAATGTCTATTATGTATATTTTCACCTTATCGTCCACACAGTTGGACCGTCTGATAGTTTCCGAAATGAAATGTAAAATTTTTTTTTGCATCTCGATTTTTTTTTACTTAAAAACATCAGTGTTTCTAGTATAATTAAAATTCGTAATATCAGTATTTTTGTCTCAAATGTTCATTTGAACAAAATTCTGTGTCTATTGTTTAACCAATGTGTCTATTGTCAGTATTTTAGCCGCATTGTCCGCAAAGATGCCCGTTGGATTATTTCCTAATAGAAGTGTACGTTGCATTTTGAAAGTTTGTTCGCTTAAACATTTTTTTTTAGTATAATCAAATTTGACAATATGAATATTTGCACCTTATGATCCTGCAGCATGGATCATTTGATTGCAACGACAAGAAACGCAAGTTTCATAAACATCCCAATGTTCATTCACTCAAAAACATCAGTGTTTTATAGAATTACCCATGTTAAAGAAACCTAACTTGCTTGAAAGTGCTTTTGTTTTTCGTTCTTTCTTTCTTTCATCAACAACTCGTCCCTGTTATGGACTCTTTCTAAACTAGCTCTGGTTCTCACCATTCTCTTATCAGCCATCAGGTCATATTTCAAGAAATAGCAAATGATCAGATGATATTTTTCTGTTTACTTGTAAATGTAAGTGATCTACAAAAAAAACGCAAGTGTTCAGCGTTACGATGTGCACAATATCACTATTTTTGCTTCTTATCTAATGGAAACGCAAGTTTCGCAACCCAGAAGTTTGTTATCGTAAATGTTGGTGTTTATTCTAAAATGTATGTTATGTCAGTATTTTTGCTTAATCGTCTGCAAAGTAGTCAATCTAACTGACTCCTAAAATAAATCTTTTTCGGCAGCATCACAAAAATTTGTTCGCTCAAACAAAACATCAGTGTTTAAAGTATAATCAGGGTGCCCTATGTCAGTATTTTCACTATATGGACAAAAGTGTGGGCCTTTTGATTGGCCTGTGACGAGAAATATACATTTTTTTAACCCAAAAGTTCGCTTGAACAAGACGTCAGTGTTTTGTGTTATTGATGTGTCTGATGTCAGTATTGTCCCTTTGTCTGCTAAATGAACTATCTGATTGGCTCCTAAGAGAAACATACATTTTCTTGCATCCTGAAATTTATTTTGCTTAAACATCCGTTTGTAGTATAATCAAAATTTGTAACATCAATATTTTCGTCTCAAATCTAGCTAGTTTTTTTTAACACAAACATCTGTGTTTATTGTTTAACCAAAATGTCTATTATGTATATTTTCACCTTATCGTCCACACAGTTGGACCGTCTGATAGTTTCCGAAATGAAATGTAATCGATTTTTTTTAACTTAAAAACATCAGTGTTTCTAGTATAATTAAAATTCGTAATATCAGTATTTTTGTCTCAAATGTTCATTTGAACAAAATTCTGTGTCTATTGTTTAACCAATGTGTCTATTGTCAGTATTTTAGCCGCATTGTCCGTAAAGATGCCCGTTGGATTATTTCCTAATAGAAGTGTACGTTGCATTTTGAAAGTTTGTTCGCTTAAACATTTTTTTTTAGTATAATCAAATTTGACAATATGAATATTTGCACCTTATGATCCTGCAGCATGGATCATTTGATTGCAACGACAAGAAACGCAAGTTTCATAAACATCCCAATGTTCATTCACTCAAAAACATCAGTGTTTTATAGAATTACCCATGTTAAAGAAACCTAACTTGCTTGAAAGTGCTTTTGTTTTTCGTTCTTTCTTTCTTTCATCAACAACTCGTCCCTGTTATGGACTCTTTCTAAACTAGCTCTGGTTCTCACCATTCTCTTATCAGCCATCAGGTCATATTTCAAGAAGTGTGGGAAGCTTCATATACCTGTGAAATGCAAGTTATGCATTAAGGGACACAGCACATCTCAAACACATTAAACAGCGCGAGTAGCCTAGTGTCTCTGTCAGTGGCACATGCAGCCTTTCTGTCAGAGCATATGACGGGCCGAGCCACTTAAACTAATATGCCAAACGAAACTATAAACTATGTCTTACCAGTTTTTAAAGGCCTTAATATAAAGCTTGTCACATGTTTAGAATGAATTGGATTATGCACTTTCTCCGCAGCAGCTCAGTCTGTGTCCTCCTCTATATTTTCAGATGCGCTCGTATCAAACTACTGTATATCGATATAAACGGTATTGCCTCATATTGTATCGCTTATAAAGAAAATATCGATATATCGTACAAGCTCGATATACCGCCCAGCCCTACTGTGTGGTCACACTTCCACAAGGTAGTGGAACAAGTATAATCATCATCTTGATCTTATCTCAAACAATTTTTTCAGCTCACTTAAACCTTGATCCTCGTGTTTGAAATCGCACAGAAGGTTTAGTAAATTTGTTTACTAAAGGACTAGAACTGAAGTCAAAGTATTCAGAAAAATGGCTGCGAGGTCCCGTTTCGAAGTCGATTGAGGCGATCGTTTGACATGGGAAGTGTCAGTATCACTACTCAGCTCTCAGGCTGTTGTTTTCCTCTGCATGGGATCACTCTGCGCTCCATACTGCAAATCTGCTTGATCCTAGAGCCACAATGTTTGACGTAGCATCATCTTCATCCGCCCTGCCTCCTGTCCTTATTATCGCTGTGCGTGACTTAGGTGCAATAGACCTGCTTAACCATCTCTGATTTATGTGACCAAAAACTCAATGGAAGAATTATAATTGCATCGTTTACTATGAAAAAATATACCAATGGTATTATAACGTTGTATCTTCAAAAAACTACAAAGAAAATGGCTGCAAAAATTACACATTTTAACACTCATCTGGAATATTTTTTTTCGATAATGTAAGTAAACATTTTTTTTTTACTTTTTTGTATTAAACCGTTTATTTAAAACGTTATAATTAAGTTGTAGCTGTAGTTGATGCACGTGATATTACAAAGAAATTAAAAATAAACCATTTCGGAAACTCTGGTAAGTTCAGATTTTCTGAGGCCTTCAGGGTGGTTCAGCAATGCTCTCATTCACCTGTAGTCAACTTAGTGTGCATGTTATGTTGCATATATTACGCCTATATATCACTGTACACGATTTGTAGCTCTCAATTGAAAATGCTTTGTAATGTCTTTTCCTTCTGTCATATCTTGCTGCACGAGATCAATGCATGTTCATTTTCCTGTCCATTCGCTATTAACGACCAATTAAAAAGGTCCATCATGTGTCATCAGTGGTAGTGGTCTGTTGGTGTCCAATCAGCATTTGTGTGTGTGTGTGTGTGTGTGTGTGTGTGTGTGTGTACGCAAGTTCGGGGGATGGGTGGGGTGTGTGTGTGTGTGTGTGTGTGTGTGTGTGTGTGTGTACGCAAGTTCGGTGGATGGTTGGGTGGTAGTTTGGTGTAAACCTCTTTTGTGTTTTTTTTTGTAATCCATTCCTCTCTTGCAGGAACTGAGCGAATTAAGGTAAGATCTGTCTGAAAATGTGGTGAATCTTTCTTGTCTTTTGCCATTTTGCAATCACAAATGAAGGTCACTGAATAATTTGACAGAAAATGTTTTTGTCATGCATGCATTTGTAAACGTGCAAGATCAGTCTATACACTTTTAACCTTTGTGCTGTGCTGAAAATCCTTTAATTTGGTGTTCCCATTCAAAAATGGCCGGTGTTTTAAAAACTGCTTGTACGTTTCTCGTTATGCTATATTATCACCAAATCTTGGATTCAGTCTTTTTGCCAACTTGTTTCTTTCAATTAGCACAGATTTTGTACTTCTTTTTTACTGGCTCTGGCTGTAGTCAGTATGGTACACACTGGAATTACAGCAGCGCCTGCAGACTAAATGTCTGTAGGGAGCTCTCGACGTGACGTAAAGCTGAACAAATGGCATTGTGGTTCTGGAAGTGTCGTTTGATTCAGAAGTGAACTTGTTTTTTTTTATTTCACAGTACTGTTCAGAGAAGAAGGTTAAGCAAAGCTTCTACAACTGCACTGATTTGTTTTATTTTGTATTTTTTCCCATGCTAAAAGGCTCAACTGGTTGACACCACTGCAGGACTCGCCAGTAAGGATGTTTTTTCTGGCCCTATTTTATTTGCTAGAAATATTTTCTTTAAAAATGTTTCTCTCATATTGATCATTCTATCTATCATTTATCATTTTTTTTTGTTTGTTTTATCTATCATTCATTCTATCTATCTATTGTTTGTTTGTTTGTGCTATATCTATCGTTCGTTGATTCGTTTGTTTGTTCGTTCTTTTGTTCTGTCTATCGTTTGTTATTGTTATTGTTCATTCTGTCGTTTGATTTTGGTTCTTTTTATTGTTTGTTCTATTGTTCGTTTCTATCCTTCATTCGTTCGTTTGTTCATTCGTTCATTCTGTCTGTCAATTGTTCTGTCAGTCGTTCACTGTGGATTGATGCACAAGATCAACAAATCTTGTACATCAGTCTTGTACAAATCTTGAGATTTTCAGTGGCCTCAAACAGATTCACACTGGTGGTTATCTTTTGAGCCAACCTTATTGTTGAGTTCTGCACTGTGGTATAAAATTTGTTTGCTTAAACGAAAACAAGCGCCTACATGAGGGAATTGATAAATATCTAAATTTTTTACTATTTAGATTTTCGTCTTTAATTTGTTACTAATTTTGTATCTGCATAATCTGTGGGCCTGAAATCACAATCCTGCAGTTGTGCTATTTAGTAATATCGCTTTTGTTTGAACCCGTAAATAGGCCTGGATGGAATGTGGTAAGCTTTCTTTCGCATTTTCAATTTCGCATTTTTGCAATCTTCATTGCAAATATCCGCAGAACAGATTTAATGTGTTCAAATGTTAAACTGAGTCGGGACTACTAAACACCTGTTGGTCGCTGAAAGCACAATCAGTTTAGCTTAAATAAATTACCGTGGCAACGTGAATTTTGTGAATTCAGGCGCAATAGATGCTTTTTAAAAACAGGCAATTGCTGTTGGTGTTTATTGTTTGCTTAGCCCTAGTTTTTAGTTAGTATTAAATTTGACTTGAACGTTTTGGTGATGGTACTTCCTGGCACATTTATTTTTGTATGATTTAATTATCATACTACATAACAATAAACAAGTTTAAAAAAAAAATGTATGTACCTTCTGCTGTTTATTTTTTAAACAGTAGATTCTTTTTCTGGCACTATTAACACTTTTTATCCATGATCTGTATTCACTCGTCCAACCTGGGATCATTGGAATAGCTATTGTGGTCGGTCATTTCAGGTAAAATTGTCCTATGTAATGATTGATGCTCATCTCCAACGTTGTGGACACAAATGTTGTGTAATGTTAAGACGAACAACTGTGGCATATCCCAGTACACTGCTAACTTTCAGCTACATCATCTTTCTGTCACTTTTTTTTTAGTTTGTTCCTCTTTTTTTCTTTGCTTCCGATCAGCTTGTGTCGTTTTGACCTCAAATAGCTGCTCGACACTTTTTGGCCTTGTTAGTGTCACACTAAACAGTGTTACTTATTTAAAATATGTAAAATGTATTAGATGGAGCCTAGCTCATCAACCAATTTATGTGATTCCAGTACTACACTAATCTTCAGTCAGTTGAGCGTTTTAACAAAACTGATCGTCTTTAGGACTGGAATCGAAAGCTGTTGTGTCCCAGACACAGATAATGTCAATTCCTGGCCTATGAAGTGTTTTATGTTGTAACGTCGGGAATGGGCTTATTTCATGCGTAGGGGTCTTTGGTCTTGGCATTTCTGCCTTTTACGGTTACAAAAAATAAGCTGAACAACTCCTGTTATGCTGTATTTGTCCTCTATACCGCCATTGTGCAATAGTTTGTATATTTTATTTGTTGTAATACCTGTAAATTCATTTAATGTTTTCATATCCTGTTTTATTATCCATATTTTGTCTTTTTTTAAATTAATTAAAGTGTTTTTTTTTTTAGTTACTGTCATAATTTTGGGAATACGTCCCATAAAACTCAAGCTGAATGCATTCCTTTTTGGCCTGCCTTTAACCCTTGCCTGTGTAGATAAGACAGATATTAACCTGATAGAGAAATGCATAAGAGTATACATAAACCATGTATATTATGTGTTATATTTGTCCTATGAAACTGAGTAACTACACATGTGTAACTAAACATTTTAAGGATTTCAGACTGCATTGATAGTGATTTAGTGATGCTTGGATTCCTTCGGAAATGTTCATGCTCCGTATGTTGTCCCTTGATTTCACAGAATAAACAAAAGATAAGATTTCAGACGCACGTATACGTCACTCTTCTATTTGATTCACATGTGTTTGTCAAGAAAATAAAAACTTTTAAGTTGTGTAATGTCTAACACCGTAACCCCAAAATGCATTTGGACACTTAAATGAGTGTGCGAGTGTCACTGCGTTAGATCAAACCAAATGACTTCATTTTTGGCAAAAAAAGAAAAAAGATAGTACAAACATGCTTTCCTGAAAGTTTCATCTGTTTTTTGTTTGGTTTTAATTTTTGTTTGGTTTTAGTGTGTTTGTTTTGGTGAATTATAAATTGTGAGCTAGATGTTTTTAGTATATTTAAATTTTTTTGGAAGTATTTGTTGGTGTCCAAAGTAATTTTGCATACTTAGCTTAATATAACTTTAGTGAAACATGACTATAGTTTAATCTGATTTGTACTTGAGGGAAACTGACTTAACATATCAACTAATATCAGTATCATTCATACAAATGAAGCGTGGCTTAAATGTCCAAAATCTTGTTGCAAAAGTTGCAAAAGTAGGCCAAGTTCTTGTATGATACTGCATATTAAATTGCTTTATTGTAGCTACTAAAATCGGAAATCCAATCTGAATGCAAAAGGAATGAGTCATACTTGTATAACTTCTAGTTTCTTGAGGGCTTCCGTGAAGCACAATGGAACTTTGTAAAAACTGTATTCTGAAACACAAGCGAACCTGCGTGTGGAATGTTAACCGTAACAGGAAATTCCGAGATCGGTATTTGCTTAGTTTGTGAGCTAGTGAACTATGGGAATCAAAACTGTGGAAATGGGCCAAAGAGCCTTCCAGATTGGACTTCTAATGTTTATTCCACATGGTTCAATAGTTATTTTCCTCCTTTTCTAATGTTTTTTTTTTGTGAACACTTGATGGTACTAATAACCGGTGTACCAAAAACATCTTCAACCTTGGCGAATGTCTTGACACTTTCCTTACATATGCAAGGGGTTCTTGGGAATAGGGGCTGCATGTCAAGTGAGACGATCCAGGTGTGCCAATAATGCTCTATTGTGTTTTACCAGAGCAAGGTGAGTATGTTAAATGCAACACACATGTACATGTTGAAGGTCTGGATGGGGTCATTAGCGTCACGCTGGTAACAAGATCCTCTGTGTGTGCTCACTTGGTTGATTGGATTCAAGAGGGGACCCTTTCACGGACTTGAGCATATTGACAGCTGGCTGGGAAAAGTTGGCCCGCTCCTGCGGCGAGAATTGCTCGGAACGGGTATTGATTTAAATCAGCGTGTTGACTAATCGGACTTCGATTTGCTCGTGAAGAGCTCCAGACATGAGCGACCCGAACTGGATTTTGTGTATTTAATCAGCTGGGCCTGGGCCGGAAAACAAGGGCTCTCCACCGAGTAATGCTGCCCTTGGGATGTTGCGGTGCACTGACGGACACTCTTTTGCACTCCACCAGGACCGTCAGTAGAGGTATGCTGGGAAATGTAAGCCAGATGGCCACTTTCCATTATGTTGTCACACAAATGTGGGTTTCCATTAGCCATTGGGATTCTCATTTTTCAGTCTTTGTTTTGTTGGTGCAGAGGTGATTTGGAGGAACTGACATGTGATATTATTGCCTCCCAATGCAGGGATTTGCCTGGATTTTGATGGTTTTTCCCAAGTTGGCTCAAATGATAATAAACATCATGTCCTGACGTTGTGCTCCATGGGAAGTATCATTATGAAAAGGTTTGGACACGTTGGGAAAGTCACAGTATGCAGCAGGTATTCCCGTGCAAGTCCAGCAGGTGGCAAACTCTTCCCATGACATTCCCAAGCTTTCCAAAGAGAAAAACATGAACATTTTGGCCACTATGAAGGGCTTGATTTTGTTTTGATTGAAGTAGGTACATGATTGGACTAAAAGATCCTGGGTGATATTACAAACTTCCAAGTTATGTCCCATTATAATCTCAAATTGTTCATTAAGTGAATTAAACAACAATAACCTTTTTTTATTTTTTATTTATTTCATCAGGTGCTGTTATAATGGTTGACCCCAGAATAGGAAGGACCTCATTTGGTATCTCTGGTTAGTGTGTAAACGGACACTTATTTTGAAGAGAATTCGGGGCTTTTTCCATCTAAGGTAATTTATGGATTGTATTTTAAAGCGTCTTGCTGCCGGCATGAGGAATACCCTCAAGACAATAACAATATCATAGCACGCTTCCAAGAACGTAAAAGAGTCCTGATTTTATCTTTCCGCATGAAATCTGAGGAGCCTTCTGGCTTGAAGCCAGACAATTATCATAATCCTAAATGCATCATTGGTGTCATTATCAGCTTCTCATGTAGGTTAAAACCATTTCCTAGGTGAATAGTGTCAAATCTCTGGCATCTCAAGGGATGTGACTTCTGCAGTGGACACATGAGGTTCATCGGAGGATTAGGGAATTGTTGTAAATTGAAACGGCATGTATTTGCCTGGCTGATTTATCAACTATACAGCAACTCCGAAAAGTGATCTGAGACCAACCTGAAAGTGATATGAAAATTATTTTCTTACTTCACAAAGTAAGCCATCCATTGACACAGTTTTAGTTCCTCATTTCCTCAAAATAGACCATGCGGTGAATAAGTTTCAAACAAGTGAACGGTATAATATTTCCATACCACTGCACAGGGCCCAGAAAAACACAAGAGAAAGGCTAAGAGTATTATTATACAATACCAAGATGATACCTTTGTTTTCCGGACTAGTCTCACACCATTAGACACATTATTGGATGGGATTGCTGCATCGTGACCTGAATACGCCAACTGGATGCACCTTGTTAGGAGATGGATGTGTAAAAACTTACAGGAGTTTTTGTTTTCCTGTGTTTTTAATAGTGTTTCATGCACATTTCATGCAAAACTAACATTTGATGCCAAATAGCTTTGAGCTCTTGATTTGTCTGTTTATCTACTTGACTTTACAGCACCCGTAAAGTTTGAATTCTCACCCCAACTGTAAAAAGAAATTCAAAGCAGAACCTTCACCCCTTTGGATATCCCACATCTTCCGTTGTTTTTCCAAAGCCACTCTCTCTTTAACTGTGGTGTAGCCCTCTGCCCAGACATGACTATATTCAGTCTCAACAATTATGTAAATGTAATGTTTGTATTTATAGGTCTAGCCACAGCTTTCTGGCATGGTAATATTGCAGCTGGGAAAGATTGCAATCTCCCTCTAGGCCCATAACATCTACCCTTGGGAGATACCACTAAGATCTTGTCTGAAGGGTTCAGAAAGCGTGATTGGCATGCTGACATAGTGAACAAAGCGACAAACACAAAGGTTTATATCTCAATCAAGTTTAATATGTACATTAAGTACACTATTTACAGTGTATAAATTATGTACATAAAATGTTTGGTCCAGAACAACTCACATAGCCCTTATCATGTCATCCGAACATGGGACAGTCTGCAATTCACCTTAGCATACAAATTGTACAAATACGTTAGAAAAAAAGAAACAAAACAAACCCATAAGACCCTGATTTTTTAAATGTTTATGTCGATAAATGCACAAATTACTTCAAACATTCAGTTAACGCCCTTTTGTTATCTTTTAAGGCAGTTTTGAAAGAGAAAAACATTGTCTTATAAAGCTTATTTAGTTTCTTGAAACAATAGCATACATTTTTGAAAAAAATGCCAAGAGTATTTATGGCACTCGTGAGATGTATACATGCATTAAAAGGCACTGTCGCGATGTCCATAGCACATCATGTTAACATAAACACATTTTACTGTCTGATTCCAGTTCCGTCTTGAGGTTTAGGTCCAGCCTAGCATGAGCTGAACTTTTTGGCATTTGTAAAGCTCTTTTTGGAAAATATATTTAGTTTCTTTAAAAAAAAAAAAAATCTGTAAAGAGATGAAGTGTAGAACCAGCTACAATGCAAAAGTCAAGTCAGTTCATGTTTCCTCTTTATCATGTTGACTATGTCCTACTTTAAATAGGGGGTACAGACAAAATGCTTGCTTTGAACATCTGAGATGTTCATTGTTCAGTGCGTTTAGTCCAAATATTCAGAGTCTGTTCCTACATATGGCGTTTCATGTGGAGGGCGAGATGGTCGGACCGGGAGAAGGCGCGCTCGCATAGGTGGCACTGGAAGGGTCGGTGTCCGGTGTGCTTACGGAAGTGACGGGTCAGTTCATCAGAACGGGCAAACTTCCATCCACAACCTTCCCAACTGCAATGGTAAGGCTTCTCGCCTAAACAAAGACAAGAAAAAAACAAAGTATGTTAATGTTTATTCATTTTCAGCCATCTGTTACAATGTCAACATATTTAAATGAAAAAAAAAGCAGATGTTACTGCAGTAGCATAGATGTTTATTTACCTGTATGCGTTCTGTGGTGCGCCTTCAAGTGAGAACTTTTTGTGTAGGTTTTGCCACATCCAGAAAAAGTGCAAGTGTGAGTCGCCGTCCGTTTCCTCGGCCAGGTGCGTCGTCCCCTCTTTGGTTTGGCGTCCATCTCCAGAGGAGATGAGGGTGGTGTCAGAAGTACTCGTTGGTTGGCGGTGGGCATCCCGAGTCTGTCGTCGCACATGCTGAAGTGATGCGCGTTTTGGTACGGCAGCTGCATCTGTGGAGGTGCAGCATGGGGAAACCCCGTGTTGCCTTGGTAACTTTGTGTGAAGGTCATGGCATGGCACATCTGTGACTGACAGTCTGTGTTGATGAGCTCCGCAGGGCTCTGCGGCGGAGTCATGCTGCCTGCTCCCTGCGGCGAGTTGGCCAGTCTTGGCTGCTCGTATGACCTCATGCATGCACCGTTGCCCTCCTGTTTGACTTTGGGAACCATTCCTCTTACGGGTCCATAACTGTCCATGCAGGGCTCCACTTTGATACACTCCGAAATGTCCTGACTGGGGAAGTTAGACCTGATTAGGAATCTTCCCTGGATGTTGTTGGGCAGAGACGGTTGGCAGTAGGAGTCTACGTCAGACTGCAGAAGCTCTGCCATGAGGCTAGTGGTATACGGTGGAGGTGACGGGTTGATGTCGGGCACTGGGTATGTGGTAGGGGCCACCGTCGGATTATACATGTTTCTGGATTCTTGCATTCTGTAGTCGCCTCCCATTCCAAGCCCGAGATGATCAGAACCTGCAGTGTTGGCCAGAATAAACTCCAGATCCAGATATTTATCGAGCTCTTCATCATCTGTTGTTCTGCTGAGGTTGTCCATGTTTGATATGTCAGCTGTGCAGCTGAGATGCATGGACCTGTCCAGTTCATCCTTCCACCTCTGCAATGAAACAGATTGATTAATCTTACTTTTATTGTTTCATACATTTTTGAAGTTCATCAAAAACCCAATCTTTTAGTGCCCCAAGTAAAACTGTTAACCATATAAAAGATGCTTTTAATCACTAACACTTGTGTAAATCTAAATTTAACATGATAAATAATAACAATAATTATATTTTGACGGTGTTCTTCGAACGATAAAGCAACTGTTACTATGGTTACGTCTTCGAATGCGATTTATTTACATTTAGCGCACTGACAAACTTGGAATATAACTTGAAGTTGGCTAAATAGTAAAAAAAAAAAAAAAAAAACCGCAGTTGAAATGTGTATATATTACATACTTGTAAAAGTAAAGAACTGCATTAATCACAATAAAACAAAAACGAAATACTCACGTTTTCCCAGCATTTTTCCTTCTGTGCCGAAAATGTGGAAATAGATGGTAAAATTGTTCCACTTAAAGCCATTTCCTGCTGGGACAATTTCCACAGTAAAATAAAAACTTTCAAGATCGGGGACCAGTTGCAGTCCCTCCAAGAAACTTGTTGTTGTGCACAACAACTCGGTTTCTGCTTTCACACTCTCTGTTTCACACTCATGCAGCAAGTATGAGTGGTGGAAGACCTTAAGATCTTATAAATATCACGGTAGTAGAAGCTGGACCAATTGTAAGAAGCGGAGGAAATACGCACTATCCGTCCCTAATTTTAGCCCCGGTATATAGCTGCTGCTCTCCGGCGTGTGCGCCTTTCGTCTTGGATGGTGAGAGCGCACGGGCTCTTCTTTAAATCACCGGAGTCACTCCACGCCCCCTCAGTAAAAACGAGTTAAACGAGTACAACATGATGCGAGAGATCCCTCCTCTCTCTCTCTCCTGCCTTTGAGGAAAATAAAGCGCAGAATAGGAGAAAAATACACATCATTAACACGTTGTTTAAAGGTGAAAACTGTCGATACCAATTGTGCGCGCCACTAGGAGCCCTCGAGACGCGTATAACAAAGGGGATTATTGCAGTGGGCATGATTGCATTTTAATAAGCAGATAACATAGTTTGTGTTTGATAGATTAAAGTTTTAAATTAACCCATCGAATTCCATTTTTCCCAAATACGTGAGCACAGCACGTAAATCAATCAGTTACAGTAAGCTTTTTGTTTTCCAGCTGCTTACAAATGTGACCACTGCACTGACATGTTTACATGTGGTAATGATTCATATAAAAAGAAAGAGTATTAATAATAGAACGTTTAAATATTATACATACCACATATTGTTTATGGAGATTTGACACAAACATCTTTCATAGGGGCAAACTAGAATTAATGTGACAATTTTTTTTTTTTTTTACAATTTGAACAGCTTTTTCTAAAATACATCAACTTTTTAGACCCTTTAAAAACATTTTGTTCACAAATGTAAGTTCAAAAAGCAAAAGTGATACAGCATGTGCACTGTATATTACACTGTATGCTGAAGTTGTGACGTAAGCAAGCAAGATGTTATGTTGCACCTGCAGCCAAAGCCACAACTTTATCAGATTTGCATGTCATTAGACCGAAACATTAACAATAACACAACTCTTGGTGCTATTTAGCACCCTCGCAGGCTCCAAATGTATCTGTAGTATCAAGCTCTTAACAAAACACATGCCATTAAGCTCTTAAAACCCCTTTCATTTGCAAATAGAGCTGAGGAGGCTGGGACCCCCCCCCAATAGCAGGTATCAGGGCATTACTGTACTAGGCTATGAATAGCTATTTCTAGCTTGCAGCAAATTGCAAATCCAGTCACCCACAATGCAGTGCAAAAGAAAACATAAGATGGCAATTTGTGTGAAATTACATAAATTTTCTATTTTTGAATGTCAAAAATAACACTCAAATGTTGAGAACGTACTGCACGAGAGTTCAAACGGGGTGTCAGACAGTCGGGTACGACGTGAACCGTTCAAACCAGAAATGAATGCTATTCCTTGAACATACCAACGTGTGTTGTGACTGTGTTTACTCTTGGATCCATTCCTTTGCACCTTTCCAGGAATCAAATTATATGATTCAGTAGGCTACCTCAATTTAGAAGTACAGTATGTTATTTGGGCACAGAGGATGTTGACAAAGAATGTCAGAAAAGGGTGTGTTTATTGTGATGTACAACTAGTTCTCCCCTTAGGGCTCCATGGATCACACATTAATATGTCAGTTTCTAATTGTGCTCTGATCATGCTTTTAGGAGGTTTCCAACACACCCTCACTTTCCACCTTTACAGGTATACAAGCCTATATTCTGTGCTTTTCCGCTAATTAAATACACTCTTAAAAATAAAATCAATGGCTCCAAAAGTGGGGGGTTTTGCAGCAACTTTTCAGTGAAAAGTTCTTAAATTAACCAAGCGTGAAGAACATTATAATAATCTGAAGAACCTTTGTCTACTATAAAGAACCTTTTGCACTTTGGAAAGTTTCTATGAATGTCAAATGTTCTTCATGGAAGCATAGATGACAATAAAGAACCTTAATAGAACTATTTATAGTTCCCCAACTGTTCCGACGAAAAATGTAGAGTAATACCTCTTGATTTGGGGGGGGTTTTGCAGTGACACCATGGAAGAACCATTTTGGTTTTCACAAAGAACATTTCAGTCAACAGTTCTTAAAAGAACCATTTTTTCTTAGTGTGAAGGCCAATTTAATAATCTGAACAACCTTTTTCCACTTTGAAGAACCTCTGAAATTGAAAAGTTCTATGGATGTTAAAGGTTCTTCATGAAGACAGTCAAAAGTGTATAGATGCTTATTTACAGTTCTTCGACTGATCGGACAAAAAAATGTGCAGGAATTCTTCTTGGTTTGGGTTTTCACAGCGATGCCATTGAATAATCATTTTGGTTTCCACAAATAGCAAACAGCTTCTAAAAGAACCATTTATTTCTTAGTTCGAAGACCTTTTGTATAATCTAATGAACGTTTTTCCACCGTAGAGAACCTTTTTTGGAATGAAAAGCTTTTATGCATATTAAAGGTTCTTCATGGAAGCATTTATGCCAATAAAGAACCTTGATTTTTAAGAATGCTTATAGTTCTTTGACTGTTCAGACAAATAAATGCAGAGAAATACCTCTTGATTTCCTTTTCCTATCTGTGTAATGTATTGTGTTCCATGTACTGGTATCTTTGCTGCTTAACAGTTAAGCAACTTGTCATGCGGTTGCCTATGGAAAATGAAAGCTGTGCCCTGGAGTTTCTTCAAGTTCTTGGCCTTTTAAGAGTTGAACAAGTCCATTCACTTTCCTTTTGTCGTTTTGGAAAAGGTTTGCGTGTGAACTGAGCTCAAGTAACCCGCTCAGTATCGAGCATTTATTTGGAAAAAAGTTGGTTTGGTTATCCACTGTAATGCATATTTTGCTGCTTGAGTCAAACCCTGGGAAACACCTGCTCTTTCTTCACAGCAGGACTGTGTTGCGGCTGCCCTGGGCCCTGCTTTCGAGAGAGAAGGAAACCGAGAGTTCTGCCAGAATGTGCGCGAGTGAGAGTTTGAGACGGAATGGGATTCTGAGCAGACCTTTATATACGCAACTATTTTTAACCCCGCTCCCTCTCGCCTATCACAGGGCTTCCTCTCTCGGACGTTCAGGAAGCAAGCCTGGCTCAGTTTCCTGCCTGCACGCCGGGCCGTTCAGAGCCAATCAGGGAAGGATAGCACTGTGATGACCAGGCACTGACTCAAAAGGAAAAAGAGTTAAAATCATGGCACATATTTGCGTGATTAGATGTCAGTCTGAAAGGGAGTTTGACATGCAGCTCATGTTTTTTGAGCCTTAGATTAATAATGAACTCAAACTGAAAACATTTGTGTTTAATGCTGCCTCTAACAGTGTTTATTTCTCCTTAAACAGTGTTTCCCAATGTTTTTGTCTCATGTACTAGCAAAAGCCCATCAGTAAGTACCCCTACTATAAATTACTATGCTGTAATGCTATACTATAATAAAATTGTATTTATTTTATGTATATATACGTATATACAGTAAATACATAAACATCAAATGTCATTGACATATATTAAAAAAAAAGTAAAATAGTCCATTATTAACCCTAACCTATATATATATATGTGTAGTAAAATATAACTATACAATCTATATTTATACTATAAAGAATTCGTAAAGATTTTTACATTTCTAAATCTGTAAATATGTTTTAGATGCTTTCAATACATCTATATGGTTATTTGTTTCAGTAACAAAATTTATAATAATGGCTTTATACCAGTATTTATGAATAGTAATGCGGAAATGTTAACCAATAACCAAATTGCTATTTAGTATGTAACATTCGATCTGACACTTTTCACCATCCAGTCACTTTCTTATGGTTAAAGTCAAGTCCCGTCATGCTTGTTTTCTCATTTTCATTTGGAAATGCATCACGTTATGGAAATAAAATTGAATGCAAACAAATTCACATTGTCTTTAAGTACCACCCTGATGTACAATGCAGCTAAAACACTGTCAAAACCACTTCAGAAATGCATGTCTGTATATTCTCAGGACAACATCAACAAGGAGTTTCATAAATATCTCGCTGTAGCCCCCATCTCCTCAAAGATGAAGGAGTTGACAGCACAAGATAGATCGTATTCTTTGGGGGAGTTTTTCCAATTCTGCTTTTTTCCATCGGTTCATGTGGATTTAATTGGTTTGGTAATTCTCCTGGGAGGCGGCCAATTTATAGCCTGTTAACACTTGAGGTCGTGCGTTATGAGCACAATTTGCGACATTGTGCTGTGAAATATGTTTGCTGTGAGGATATTTTCAGCAATTAATCAAGAAAACCTCTTTTTTCTTTCTTATAATGTCCAGACGGCATCCTAAACGGTCCATTTTGGCCTCGGAAATGAAACGACAAACTTATCAGTGGCTTCTGGATAGCATGTTCCTAATTTTTGTTATTTTACTGTCTCGAAATGTTTACAGGGTTTGATATGGTGTTGATTCTGTGGTCCTTGGAGAAAACGTACTACGTTCAACCTCTTACTTTAGACCGGTAACAGCTGTAGCTTGACCAAAACATAAATTGAAATCATGTGCAATTTCAATCAATCTCAAAACGACTTTTCTTTTCCTCCCGGTCGAAGTGATACCATGAGAACATTATGGAATTGTGTTGTGAGTGATGAATCCAGAGACAGTGGATTGGGAAATTATAAGCTTGGGCTGAAATGGTTTGCAGTTGAACCTGGCAGTGTTCGTGTAGTTTCAACATCTCCCTGTTTCACTGTTATAAGTCTTAAAGCCACAGGAATTGCCATGGTGGGCTGCCAAAATCCAGTTCCTTTTTATGCAGGAGTTGGAATTATGGATAAAGAGAGCGAGGGAGTTACAATGGAGAGTTGAGTCTCTAAAACCAGGCTAGTTTTTATACGCCAGCCTGACCACAAACGTGTCCGCGTTTCCTTAAATCTTGCCAGCTGCGTAAATACACCAGCCTGCCTTTACACACAGGTCCCTTTCTATTCCAGCTTTGAACTCCTTTCTTCTACGTTGTGCCTGTAATGTCATGTATACACCTAAAATGGATGGACCAAACCACAAATTCGCCAAACATTCCTGAACTACACGACCTTCAAGGTTCCTCGTACTTCAGAAGATAAAAAAAAATCGCCAATATTTTCATGATAAAGGTACATTGCGATACGAATTGAATGTGTGAGCACTGTGTACCAATTATTTATTTACTTATATTTTTACACAAAGAAAGACTGAAAAATACATTTTT